AATGCTTATATCTATATTCTCCTCTGCCAAATGAATGTGTATGAAACCATGGCCCTTCTGGCTGCAAAGAAAGTGATAAAAGTCTTTCAATTAATACCTAAATATACGTATTAATTTGACAAATTATTGACTTGGTTCACCATAAGTCTTTACATTTCAATAAAATATTTTAAATTCCTACTGTTTCCTAGGGTTTTCCCCAAGGCCCTTGAAGTTATAAACTCCTGCATTGCATGGTACCATAGTATATTTGATTAATTCATTAGGCCATTGTTCTTTAGTACTACAAAAATTTAATTTGAGAACATTTCTATATATGCCTACATATACTGTGGCCCCACTTTAGCCCTAGCTATTAGAACCACTACAAACTCCTATCAGAGTCTGCTGATGCTTGTTCTGACTCTTTCAAAGATTTTTTTTTCATTTCAATGCTAAACAGAAAATTTTGAAATTGATTTGTATTAAACAAAACCTACCAGTAGATATTAAACTTGAAGAGCTTTTACTATTTTTTAATTATACATGTATATTATACAGGGTAACACCTTATAAATACATAATATGCAAGAATGTAATTCCCAATATCTTTATTTGAATTTCATAGAACCATTCGTGAATTCATTTAAATGTAATTTAGATGAAATTTACATGTATTTGGAAGACATCAAACGCTGTTTCCTGTGTCAGGTTTGATCAATTTTGTCAAGACTTCACACGGCCATGCAGGCCTCTGTATGTCTCAGCTGCTGTCAGTAATGTTAATATTAGTCATATCATAAATCCCAGAATTAATCCAGGCAGAATTACCCCTATGTTTGCCCAAGCTTCAGATTTCTTTGATAGGCCATTTATAGAAAAATGTGATAGCGAAAAAACAAAAGGAATGAAGTGCATAGCACATATATCATCCCTAATCTATGTTCACTTGAATTTGGCAAACTTAATAAAATGGTCAAATCATTTTTCTCAGAGCACTCTCAAACTGTTTTCTAAGAACACAAGTACTAATCATTTAACAGATACTACACTGACTCACAGGAAAATAGATTCTCTTTAGAGAAGTGGACAGGCTTTCGCCTACATCCACTTCTCTGGATTAACAATACTTAAAGGTCAGTTTTCTTGTGATAATTGTGTGTATTTATGTTAAAATTGTTAATATAACACGTCTATTACGTACATTCAGATGTATTTCAGACGAAATATCAGTTGAAGTGTAGACCGTTACCGGTTCGAGATTTACACGTTTTCCAGAATCAAAACATGAAGGCTTGCGAAGAGAAGTGGATGTAGGCGAAAGCCTGTCCACTTCTCTAAAGAGAATAAGGAAAATACAGTGATTTCATGTTATACTGAACTCTAAATTACAGTGAGACATACATCTGCTTGGTATTATACATGTATCAATATATGCTTAATTCACAAAAACAGTACAGCTAGCTGATGTTGATGCAGTTTTAATAACCTCTAGCTTGTAACAAAACTTTCTTTAGACCATGCACAGATCTAGAGAGGGGTGGGGGTTGGGGGGTTCAGACCCCCCCCCCCCCCCCGGAATTTGCAAAGTCATTAAAAGTATATACTGTAGCAAATAAAAAATGACTTTCGGCCCCCCTAGAAAACGTGGACCCCACCACCATCACAATGTTTGTGTTTGGAAATGGACTGCATTTTTTTTTTTTTGGTTGTTTTTTTTTTTTTTTGCTTGTCAAGATATTTTCTGGGTTTGATACAAGGAGTGTAGGTTTATTTTTTTTATTTATTTATTTTTTTTGCTTGTCAAGAATTGGAAATTTTTTGACTTGGGTGGAACCACCCCCACCCCACCCCCCCACCCCCCAGAAAAATTCCTGGATCCATGCCTGTGTTAGACTATAAACATGATTCTTGAGCTGATCAAAATTCAAAAAAAAAATTCAGTTTTGTAGAACACAGGACACCTGCAGGTAAAAAATTCCTCTGATACAAGTCCCTGCACTTGATTGCAATATTTTAACACTGATTTTCATTATAACTAAAAATGAAGTCCATATCTGTTATTGTTTAACTGCTAGAGGTAAGAGTTCTGAACAGACACACAAACAGACAAAACAACACTCTTTTATAAAGCATAAATATGGAAAGAAAAATTTGAAAGGCAAATCGAGACCACACATATATCTCACTTCATAAAATGACGAGATACAGAAAATGGCTATCATAAATGTAATGGATGAGTTCCAAGACAAAATTGGTTGAGCAAACACAATAATCTTAAACTTCAATCTTTCTTGAAACCCCCTCTTCCAAATCAAAGATAATGAGCCATGGAGCAAATATAAATGACACTATCATTTCATCATTGGGAATTCAAATTTTTTAACAAGACGTAGGAGCTAGGTCAAAGAGATACAAGAGTTGCTGCCACTTGCTTTGAGGTGTATTCTGAGTATTTTGGACACTTTGTAATATATATTTCATATTTGTACAGTAAAACACAATTATAACGAAAACGCTTATAATGAATTGACGCTTATAGCAAAGTGATTTTCATTCCTGGCGACTTTAAAATATATTGAAAACTTAACAAATATAACAAATTACGCTTATAATGAAACAAAATCATCCATTCCTGGCACTTCTTTATAAGCATGTTTTACTGTACAGACATACAACCAGAATTATTGACAATTTTGGTAAAATTAGTTCTACACCGAAATGGAATCAGGATTTTGAATCCAAAATGTATTCATAAATATATTTAATTTCCATTTTTAAATTAAAAAGGAAACTTACCAAGGGATATGATTTTTCTCAGATTTTATCTGATGAGGAAATAATGTATTATTCTAATTGATTTACAAAGTATGGAATGGTTTGCTATACTTTAATTAAAGTATAATCGATGTTAAATTTATTTTTATTTGGAATGATATGGATCATTTTACAACACTGACATAAATTAAATGGACATTCCATATGCATCAGTAAAACTTTTTGGACATGCATGTTCATATTCCTAACGTGATATCATTTGAAGTATTTATACACCTACTACGGAAGGCCATCCCGACTTCATGGCATCATATTAATATAATATTTCTATAAATAGCCTCTACTATTTCGGTCATACCTTAGAGTCCAGTAATTATGTAGGAGGCACAGTACAGAATATAAAGGAATGGTCACCCTTAGGAGATATGACAAACACCACAAGTACACAAGGAATTAAGAGGCTTCTTTATTCAGACAATACTTTGAATAATATGATAAATTCTTGATAAAAAAAAATCGCTGGCAATTTTATCAATGTTGTCTGTAGGATTTGAGAAGGGTGCTAATGTATGCCCACAGATCCTCTCCAACTAATATCAGAAATTTATTGGACTGCAAGGAAATAGTTTCCAATTAACACTTTCATTCACTAAGGGGATATCAGTTCAGTTATTACAGAAGAGAAACGAATTATAGACAAGTATTAAGACACACTTCTGACTGCAGAATGAGTTCACCCATTGGCCAAGCAAACTGACCGAGACAGATTGTCCGAAATCTATCCTTCTTGAATTTAAACAGGTGGTCTTTCACATAGAGTGAATGGTGTCATACATTCTCTATTTAGGAAATTTACAATAAATAGCCCTAGGGAAGAAATGATAAGGAAAATCTTAAGGTATTCATTACAGTGCAACAACAATAGATCACAGTCAAATAGATGAAGAAACATTGCATGAAAAGGGGGATAACTCCTTAAGACTTGATCTGATTTGATGCACTCCAAACCTCTCTATTGCTTTAATGAATTCCTTTGGTCAAACCTCTTAAAAGAACATGTCTATGTGGCTAAGAGACATGGAGGATTACTTTAACAACTCAATTTGCCTTTGCAAACAAAACTGGAAAGGTTTTTTACACAGCAAGCAATATACATATACTAGAGAATCCATTACATATCCTGGGCCAATATATGTATTCTACAGAAAGAAAATCCCTACAAAAGCTCAATTAAACAAGATACTCTTGTACTGAAAATGAAAACAATTTTGTAATATTGTGATAACATGCAGTTACACGATCATCAATACTTCTTTTTTTTATTTTAAACAGCTAATGTTATGCACTGTCACTAAAGCCTTGACTAGTACATACTGTTGTTTACGAGTATATGCCAAATGTAACATTTAAAATACATGTACTGCAATTGGAACACAAACATTAACATACCAATGTCAAAAAATTCCAAGGTACAAAAATTCATTTCAGGTTTTTTAAAATAATTTGCATGGGAGGCATTGGGTAAGAGCCCTAGAATACATATGAACTGTGCAATAATCTTTAAAATTTAAAATTAATGAGACCTAGTGGGTGTGATAGAGTTAGGGGTAAATTTTCTCAAAGAGCCTTTTCTCTGATTGGTCCTGACATTGCCAAACTAAAAATACAATTAGACAAGATCTGGTCCCATATTTTCTACAATAGCAAATTACTAATTTAACAATTTGTCCTGTGCATATGACCTTATATGGACCTGAATACTTTATCCTGACAAAATTATTAAAAGATTTTTTTTTTAATTTTTTTTTTTTTTTTTTTTACAAATTTCTTTTCTTGTACAATGGTCATAACTTCTATCTTAGGTTTAGGAACAAACTGACTGAATGATAGGCAATACCTAATATCTTTAATCTTATGAACACAGAAAACCATTTAAGAGGGATAGCTTTCTTTTAATTGCGGACCTTTTATATATTTCTGGCATTTTGAAAACAATCTTTGCATCACCTGACATTAAATTCAGATAAATGTGTTCCCTCCTTTATAAGTCACTTCCTGAACTTACACAAGGAAGAAGAGTCTGAACTTGTCAGGAAACAATCTGTGTCAGTCAGAAAATTACATACAGGAAAGTTTATCAGGACACGAATCAATAATGCTCCCTCAAATGGAATTAAAGAGAATGAGACTTTTGTTGCTAATATACTGTCACTTTATATTATGATAATTTGGATCCTGTTTTATCAAATAGCCAAAACAGGCACTGGCTTAATCTCATTTTTTGGGTATTTCTCCAACAGAACCTAAAAAAATGAACTTAAAAATTAAGGAACTGTTACATAATTTGGCTGTCAGGAGATGGTCTTCCAGATGTGTAAATGACTGCATTGCATTGAACATCTGCTGACTTTATGAGGTACTAGGGACAACTATTCACTTCAATCCCAAAAAAACTATACCAGGATCCTGTACTTCACATCTCTATTTTCCATCTGCTTTTAAAGTCTTTGGTATTTTATGACCTAAACTTATCATGCCTTAAAATCTCTGATTCATTTAAAAAAAAAAAAAGAACTTGCTGTAACCACAATTATATACAGTCAAACCTCGTTATTTCAAAGTCGATGGGACCAAAAAAAAATTCAAGATATCCAAGGGTTCAAAATATTGAGGGTACTAAATTACTTAAAGAAAAAGCACATGGGACTTCCAAATGACTTTGACATATCCATGGTATTCGAGATATAGAAGTTCAGCTGTATTACATTTGAGTAATGTGTTAAAAGTTATTTCCCTTTGACCACAAAATCTTTCTGCACTGTGTGTGCACTACAGGAATTTTTGTGTCAGAGTTTAACTTATCTTGTCACGGCTTATTTACTGCTCACCCATCCCTCTAATCAAAAAAAACACAATCCTTAAATTGTTCTGACCTGAAAGAGCTGTGCTCTCTGACTGCATTTTATATTCTCTGTGTTTATTTGGTTTAGAGCATTTAACTGGTTACACAACGTGTCTGAATAAAATCACTCTGATCATAATTTATTATAAATAAATATCATTCAGACATTCCCATCCTATTTGTATTTCCTAGAATTTGATAAGGGGTACATAGATGGTAATGACATAATACCCACTTATGGAATGGATTGGATATTAAAACTTTTTTGAAAGTCGATCTCAGACTTCCTCCTTCCAATGTCCTATTTGAACTAAGAATCAGTGGTCAATTACCTATTTATAGAGGTCATTGAGTGAAAATTCATGTGAAATAAAACACATACTGGCTATGGGGAATAAGAAATTTCAGAATGCTTTAAGGAATGAACTATTGTTAAACTTGGTACAAACCTTCATCTCCTGAGGTTTCTGTACAGGACAGAGGCACCACCTGGTACAGGGTGACGGCTACCAGGGCACCCACACACAGGGACCACCACACCATCACTGAACTCCATGGTGTGGAGTCAGACTAAAAAAAAATACATGTCGATGAATTTACAGATAAAAACACTTAAAGTGGAAATAAAATTTGTAGCTGCACTCATGGTCTCCAACAATATCAAAAACATGACTGTCTCAGATCATACAGTAGGTGAATATGGGGCACTTCTTTAATTGTCAATTATACACTATGTTCATTTGCAAAAAAGGGAAAAAAAGAGGCCCATGGCCCACATCGCTCACCTGAGAAGCTTTTGCCCTGCTGTTCTTTACCTGATTTCCCCCTTGTAATACCTATTGTGGCCCTGTCCTACCCCCAGGGGTCATGATTTGAATAATGTTGAATCTACACTACCCAAGGGTGCTTCCATTTCAGGGATAGACATTAACTTTCAGATTCACTTGCCCTTCGGGCAAGTGATCTCGAACTTTGACTTGTCCGAATGCTAAACTTGGTTGCCCAAAATTATGAAAGAACTTAAGAGGAGTCTTATTAATTACTGTAAACGTTATGATAAGAAAAAAATGTGACCAAATACACTATACTGTCAATTTAGCAAGTTGAGCTACCTGAAAAAATGTCGATACATGTTGCATTTGTACATAGATGTATACCACTGTACTTGTAAATATAACCTGATAACACACACTGCCATACAACAATAACCCTCCGTTTCCTTTTAATAAAATTCGTATTTTTAAAAATTATTTTCGGTAGGATTCTTTTGTGATTCGTGATTTTCAGAGATAACTGTGAAGCAACGCTTAAGGAAGATAGTTGCTACGAAACATGCATCTTATCATCATGTCTTGATCATGGTACATCGTGTTACACTGTACTTATATTCTATACTTGAATAAATAAGCTAATTTCCTAATAAGAAGTTAACGAAATTTTCTTAGACATAGAACGTATTTACTACGAAAGAAAATAACGAACCCAGTTTTTAAATGAGCGGTATAATCCAGAAACGCTACCAAGGAATTCCGAATGCAAAAACATTGTCAGTCAGGTGCGTGGCTGAAATCAAGTGTTCAATTTATTGTTTTATTTATAAATTAATGTAAACTAAATAAATATGTACATTTGTATCAGAAAAAATTCACTTGCCCGATTGGACAAGTACGTCGACAATTTCACTTGCCCGAACTGAGAATTTACTTGTCCCGGGCAATCGGACAACCGTTAATGTCGATCCCTGCATTTAAGTTTCAGCTTTTCTGGCCCAGTGGTTCATGAGAAGATTTTTTTTCTTTTATATTTCAATGTAATACTTGGATTACCTATTTTTGCCCCATCCTACCCAAGGGGTCATGATTTGAACAATTTAGAATCTACACTACCCAAGGATGCTTCCACATAAGTTTCAGCTTTTCTGGCCCAGTGGTTCTTGAGAAGAAATTTTTTTTAATGACCCCACCCTATTTTTGTCTTTTCTTGATTATCTCCCCTTGGAAGGGGGTTTGGCCCTTCATTAAAACAATTTAGACTCTCCTTGACCCAAGGATGCTTAGTTCCAATTTTGGTTAAAATTGGCCCTGTGCTTCTTGAGAAGAAGTTGAAAATGTGGAAAGTTTACAGATGGATGGACAACAGGTGATCAGAAAAGCTCACCTGAGGTTTCAGCTCAGGTGAGCTAAAAAAAAAACTACTTGAATAAGCTGAGGCAATCTTTTGGGATGATTACATTTTATATTAATTTCATACTGCATAAAAATGCCAGAAAGTGCACAAACTGCATCATTATTATGATTTCCATTATGGTCATGTTATTCAAATGTGACCATTTATGTGTCATAAGCTGTTAAAATTGAAAAAAAAAACCCAGAACTTCTGCGAGCCAACACTCCCCTGTATTCATTCATCAGATTCTCCAGAAATAGTGCTTATGTGAAATTTATGCAAATTATGATATTTCTCTCAAGGTGTGTAGTACTGAACTTGTACAATTTTCAGGAAATTATCAACTTTATTGAGACACAAATGACTTTTTAGCCATGATAAATGAATTATGCAAAAGTTGTAAACCAAACGGAGGTTTTTAGAATGAATTTCCTATTGATGGTCATTTATAATGCATGCCACATTGTCACACATAAGAAATTCATTCAAAAAGTTTCCATGTTCACTGCAACCTGCTACTTCCACATATTAAAAATTACCAAGCCAACCACCCACCCATCCTTCTTTCCCTCCTTTCAAAATAATCTCCACCATTTAAGAATTTTCGGAGTTCCTATATTAAGAATGTTTAGTGGCATAACATTTGAAAGTCAATGAAGGGAAAAGTACATTATCTATAGGCTGTACATTGACACAATTTCAAAGCATCTTTCCAATTACTAAAATTTAAGCCTCAGTTTCCAGAAATAGATATTATACTTTTCATTTTTTTCAACTTTTCCTTTACAAGTACATTCATACCCAGCCTTTACACAAAGACTTTGCATGAAACACATGGGCTTCCATTTGTGACTTGCATGTATTTGTGGGATTCCTTCCGGAATTCCTTGAAGTTTATATAAAAAAAATAATAATAATAAAACTAGAGCAAAGCTCGTTGCTGGAGCAACAAGCAAGTCTTCCGTCCAATCAAGCAAAGAAAATGAAGGGCAGAAATGCAAATAAGTACGTAAAAAAGAACACCGTTCTGAAGAGCATTTGACTTATAATGATGTGAAAAGTCTTCAGAGTTTTCATCTAATTACAAGGTGATATTTTAAAAAAGAATTCACTGGTAACTACTTCCGGTCTGACCGGAAGTGATGTCGATCGACGAAAAATATTATACTATTCATTTTTTTTAAACTTTTCCTTTACAAGTACATTGAATTTCATACCCAACCTTTACACAAAGATTTTGCATGAAACACATGGGCTTTATATCTCTATTGACTCTAACCATTCAAATTTGTGCCAATACCTACAAAAATAAGCCTTTTCTGCCTACTTCGGGTTTTAACCGGTTTAACCAGAAGTGATGTCGATCAACAAAAAATGAGTTTGGATGCTACCGGTGATTCAAATTACCCAATTATGTGTTCAAAACTACAAAAATATACAGTTTTTGACTACTTCCTGTTTTACCGGTAGTGACGTCATTAGACGACTTTTGACATTTTCACCAGCTGCCACTTGTTATTTTGAACAACTCTGTTTCAATAATAAGTTACAAATTTTTAAAAGTTATTGAGATAATGAGAAAAAACTTTCGACCCCTGTATAGATCCCTTATTTTTAGGGGCCAGCCCCTTTTTTGTTGATATTGGTTGAAAGATCTTGTAGTTTTGCACAAATTTTGTCCTACACGTTTTAACAAATTATTTACAGGTAAAGAGATATTGAAGAAAAAGCGTTCAAAATTTTGAAATTTTCGATATGCCTTTTTTCGGACCATAGCAAATGCTGACGTGCGGCATTTCCGGTAAAAATGAAATGCGTTACGCATATCTACAGACATAGGTCTATCATACCGTATACCATACGTCATTCTCTTGCTTTATTAATCAATTTCAAGGTCAAAGGTCAAGGTCACTAATAATGGTAGTATTTAAAACACCTCATCCTGATGTGTGAATGTAAGATGTGTGATATGAGTTAAGTTAGAAGATGATCATTAATTAGTTCATCCTCAACAGACCTAAACATCAAGGCAGAGGTCATTCTGATAGTTGTATTTAAGTGACCTCAGGTAGGAAGTTTGAAAGATGCAAAGAAGACAGAGCAATTGTCAATTCATACATCTGTTTTGCTTTGCTCTCTCAGAGTTAACAACCCTTGCTCTCCGGTGTATAATTTTATAAAGCCTACCAAATGTACAGTAACATTCAGTGTATCCCTGCCGTGGAAGCTACTGGTGTGGGACAATGACAGTGACCCTGACTGTGGTAACTGAAACTGATTCTCCTCCGTCTCCACAGAAAAAGAGAGAGGATCTCCTGGGTCTCCATCCTCCAAAATCACGGAAACCTACAAAATCAATTAGTACCGATTATATACATTGTATTACAAATCAACTGTTAGGAACAACAAGATGTAATATTTCCAAAGATAATAAAGAGGGTGGCACTGAGGTGGGGGGGGGGGGGGATAGGAGGGTAGTATGTGCTACACTGCAGAGAATATCAAAGGACTTTGAAGTGAACTCTTGTTGTTAAGAGTACCAGTATATGTGTTATTTTGTACATTATTAGATGGATCAGTAGATAGTACTGTCTCTGAAAGCCAAATCTCTTGCGATGCATCTGAGTTGAAAAAGAGATTGGTCTCCATTTGTGTTTTCTGTCATGTCCTAGCTAATCATTTCATGTTTGAACAAAGAATTTTTTAAAAATTATCATATACAAATTTTCACATCCAGGACAAATAACAGCAAAGCAAAGGATGTTTACCCGACCTCAATCTACCTGTGACATTCTATAAATAAACAAAAATAGTGACAGGAGAGCAAAGAAACGTCCATTAAGAAGAGACACTGAAGTTGTTCCTGTCCCTGACAACAGTGTTATAACTTGTGTTTAAGGGTCTTTAATCAAGCCTGTCATTACTGGTACAATAGACTTGGCATTACTTTCTTATGGAGACATTAACTTAATATACAAGGCATATAATAATATCATCTACGTATACATGAATTAATGTGAGGTAATTATTACAACTTCCTTTGATGATGAATGACTTTATGATGAAAAATAATTTTTTATTCATCTGTTGTTGTTGTATTTTTCATAAGTCAGCTGAATAAGTTAGGAGAAAAAACTTGTCCCTCAAGCTCAACACCCCCCCTCCCCCCCCCCCCCCCCCAAAAAAAAGAAGTTGTTACAAATTTGAAGGGATCACAGCATAAAATGCAAAACAGAATATTGTACAAAATTTAAAAATAGAGGAGAGATTTATCTTTTTTTCACTAGCTAAGATCATGAAAAGAATAAAATAAAATTTATGGGTCAAATGAATGAGACTTTAGAAATTAATGAAAGGCACTGAAAAACTGGTGGTAGAGTATGTTCTTCAAAGCTGATCACAATATGTTCGCCAGAACTTAAATTAATTACTACCAATGAAAAAAAAATATCCTTGGTAACAGTAAATCTGATTAATTGTTGAAGACTGTCAGTAGATGTTTAAATTGTACTCTAAATGGGCCAGTTTATCTAATATTTTCCTTATAGCTTCTGGGCCAGATTATAACAATTACTTACATCTTGAGCAAAAAAGCTTTAAATTTAAGTGAAATAAAATAGAAATCCTAATCCTTCACATCCCTAAAACTATCATTAACAAGCTCTTATTTGAAGAATTCATGTTGCTGTTTATACAGACACAATGTACTTCTATAATAATTATTTCAACAGATGGTATAAAAAATATATAAGATCTAGCAATAATATAGACTAACATGCTTGATCCTTATGATAACCATTCAGTGTGCTATATGAATGATGAGAAGACATTTCTACTGATCCTTCAACACCCATCCTGTTTTCTTTAGGTCCCAAAATCATAAGGAAACTTTTTGCAAAAATATAGATGCTCCCTCAGAACTATGAAATAGGTATCAAGAAAAAGACTTATTTTGCAATAGCTTGCCAAGGGTGTCATCACAACGGGGGGGGGGGGGGGGGGGGGGGGGGGGGGCAAAAGCGGGAGACATATTTGGGGTTTCATTTTAAAACATGGATACTGCAATTCTTTCTATAATATAGGGGACACCCATCTCTTATCCATAACTCCTCCTAAACCACTGAATAAAATTTCAAGACACTTTCATGGAATCTTTAATACATAGTGATTTTGTGCACCTCCTATTTTCAGTTTTGATCCGAGAGATATTTGGGGTTTCCTGTAGAAAAAAATGGACACTGTCATTCTTTATTTAACATTGAGGGGTATTCATCTCTTCTCCTAACTGAATAGAATATAATGAAACTTTCATAGAATCTTTATTACATAGTGCCATTGTGCACCTGTTATTTTACATTTTGATCGGAAAGATATTTCAGGTTTCCCATAGCAAAACATGGACTGTGCCATTTTATTCAATAAAGGGAGTACCCATTGTGTTAATGCAACTCCTCCTAAATCCCTGAATGAAATTCAATGGAATGTTCACAGAATCTCATTTACATACTGCTGAGAAATGCACTTTGCCATTATACTCATGTGGGTGGGTGGAGTGGGGTGGAGTATCATTTTGTGAGCTCTGTGCTTACAGTCCCTCTAGTTTATATGGCAATAAAAGATTAATCCTATTTTCATTTAAACAGAAAACAAAAGTCCTAATTTTGGCAATGTCTAGGACCTGTGTGTCTACACTGTTTTACCGTCTAAGAATACCAACTAAAAAGATTAAGAATGGCCCTATTTTTTCCCTACATTTACCATTTTTATTGCAAGTCAACACCAAACTCACAGATTCCAAGACAAGACTGGATTTACGACTGCTGATTGTATAGACACCGGGTATGTAAAAAGAGATCTATACTGACAGGGGACTTTTTCTTGCTGGTGTCATGAATAGAAAACTTTATGTAAACTTGGCAGACAGTCTTCAAAATTTTACAAATGTTCAGGCAGATTTATATCTGTCGAGTTGTCTTTTTATGAACATAATGGATGCCATCTAACTGTTCTACACAATGACATCCTGTATAAAATAGAGTAAGGACGTGCATGATACAAATTCATTTCTGATACTACAGGTGTAGAGTACACAAAAACAGCAATTATCTCAAAAGAGAGCTTCTTTTTTAAAAATCCTGACTTGGTAAAACTGAATCTTAAAGTAAGGAGCCAAACTTTTTAATTCATTCAGGTATCAGTACCCTCATGATTTTAAATAAAACATTTTCCCAGTAGTTCAGATACTGTGGAATATTACATGTTTATAAGTGCAATAAATGAATCCAAGTTAGGTCAGAAAAAAAGTCTCTTGATCGAAATTAAACATTCATGTCTCCTTTTGCCAAAAAGAGCCATGGGTCAACAGAATGAAACATTAAAAGCTAACACCCTGTGTCACCAACAATTCAGGCATCTCTATTTAGGTCTGTGGCATTCTAAGTCAGAATATATAGGTTCTACAACCATTTGTATCATCTTGTCTTTGCATGGATTTGTTTACGGAGTCTGAACATGTAACATCCAATAATCAAATTAAGATAACACAACCTTCTACGCCAGATCCAACACCTTTTACTGGTATTTTTCTTAAACATTATCTTATAGCTGTTTCCAAGTCGCATCAACATGATATTTTATTCATGTCAATCATACCCATATCTCCCATTTAGACTGGCCATGGTAAGTCTACTTATTTTACTCATGGGATTCATGTTCTAGAGCCCTTTGGCAATCTGGGCTCCTTATGAGCAAAATAATTCACACAATCAATGCCAAAATATACATCAGGTATGTATTATCAAGGGGGGGGTCTCCCTCCTCACTCCCCCCTCCACGAATAGTCTTTCACTGCTATATCATTAATGGAAACTTTTATTTGAAGGCCAAATGCCCCCCTTCTGTCAATAGGAGAATGCCTCCCCCCCCCCCAATTCATTGCAACCCATAGATTTTGTGTCCATTGTACTTCCACATACCTGTGGCTGTCTATTATAAAATTCTCTCGGTCTCGCAAATGAATCACTGAATATTTATTAAGTGACACCAGATTCAAATTGACTAATGAAATCACTTTGTGGCAATTTTGGGTATGCTAACATGGTGGCACTCATAATGAAATTATGTTTGCTATGCACGGCAGATTTATTGATAAAAATATGATAGATCCTGAAGAGGCCATTACAATATATTCTAAAATACTTACAAACCTTAACATTAAAAGACAGGGTTGGCAGATGTTGTGTGAATATGCTTAATTAATAGCGTCATTTGTTTAGACAAGGAAATTCGAACCTAACTTGATGTACAGCTCACAGTTATGGTTACATCCAAATATGACAGACTGTTCATTTTCAAAGGACAACAGATTTCCGACTTGAAGCCTCAGATCATTATTCCCCTATTTGAATGTGTGTCATTAATATTTATGGGAGGATTTTGTAGTAGAGAGTCACAAAATTGTGGAAATTAAATGGACATGAAATCTCTGGCTTGTGTTGATCCCCCCCCCCCTCCCCGGCTTTTTTGCTTCCAAGCTTTTTTTCTTTTGCTAGTCAATCTTGCTTTTCAACAATCCCCCCTTCCCCTTTCCCCCACTTTGAAAAAGAATGCGTTGTCCCTTTACATATAGATATATACATAAACATACATATGGTGAATAAGACAACAATGTTAGTTTACAATGGCAATAATTAGGGTTGGATACCGGTACTCGGTACCAATACCGTACCGAATAGTTACTTTAAAAATACCAGTAAAATACCGTTTCATTTAATACCGGTACTTGTAACGGTATTCCTTAATCTTATAAACATTTTAATACATTCAATATGATTTTAAAAAAAAATTCCAGACTCGCTAAAATCGAATTCTCCGCGCATTGAAAGGCTAGGCTAATTAAAGAAATGGATGCTTAGTACCATTCTTGCTTTCGACTGTCGATATTCGAGGTAAATTAATACGTATATTTAAAAAACAAATTAAAATACATTCACATTAATCGTGTTTTAGATTTATTAATAAAAACTGATAATAAATGTAAATTAAAAGGGCAAAAAATATGATGTGCATCTCTATCCATTTTCTAATGCGTCGTCGTTTAGAGCGACCAAACAAAATAAGTCCTGACAATCCATTGAATCGGTGAGCCCATTTGTGATTATGTATCCAGTCAAATTAAATTTGTTTGAGATTCAATTTATTTGTTTAGTTCATCATTTATTAAAAAGTTAAAATATAAACATAGTTTATAAGCTCATTATTTAGATCATAACATTGAAGGATTGGTGATTGGTGAAAACACATTTGTTGTAAAATGAACCATTTCTCATTCATCAAGGTAAAGTACC